TTTTCATTTGTTCTTTGGACGACAATTTCCACCACGCATTGACTGTGAAAAAGTTAACACCGCAGCTAGATATGCACCCGGGGAAACAATGTCGGGGGTGTTGCCATCGAGAACAATAAAAATAGGAAAAATAAAAAGCGCCACGGGGGTTATAAATTTATATATACACACATATATATATATATATATATATATATATATATATATATATATATATATATATATATATATATATATATATATATATATATATATATATATATATATATATATATATATATATATATATATATATATATATATATATATATATATATATATATATATATATATATATATATATATATATATATATATATATATATATATATATATATATATATGTGTGTATATATAAATTTATATCAAACAGGGATGCAAGAAGTTATAGAAGGTCTTCCAGAACAAGAGCCAAGATCGAACATTGATCGATTGATTGAGGCTCTTGCTCAGAGACAAAATATTAATGCGGAGGGGGAAGTCATTGGTGCTGGTGAGGATAGAGAGAATATCGCGGAACAACCGATTCGTCAAATAGCGAGTCCTCGTGGTAGTAGAGCTGGTTTGAGGAGAGAGGGTAACGTCGAAGGTGTCCGACAAAGTAGCGGTAATTGGCAGAGGGATAACACTACGCCGTGGAATAAACCTATTCTTGCGCGTCCCATGAAACCTGCCATTAAAGAGACTCAAATTAAAGCGGTGTAAGTAATTATATCGCTTTTCTCTGATAATATTGTTGGATAAATAATATAATTATACAGCAATGACAATCTCAGGAAACAATTTGAAATAAATTTATTAATAATTTATTTATGATATACAGATCAACATTAATGTGATTACATATTAAATAAACTGCTAATATTAATGTTAAAAGAAAGATATATTGATTTTTACATTAATTCGCATTTGTACATTATTTGTGAAGTCACGCAATGGCAGACATGGAGTTAGAAAACTGGCGGCGAGAAATGCGACGGCGACCGCAGCCTACATCGAGCACTGCCACTAATCAAGGCAATATAGGAGGTAGACCCATAAACCGCAAACGTAATAGAACTACTAGACACGGTTATAGAACCAGAGCAACGCGTGATGAAGAACAGGAGGAGGAAGAATATGAGGTACCTCACAGAAGCGATATTTAATACTGATAAGTATTAACTCGTAGACAATTCTATTTGCTATTGTATAATAATGAATAGGAAATTTCAGAATTTTACAGTTGGTTAAGCGTCGTAATATTGTGCATTTTTACAGAATCCTGATAATACTGGCACATCAGCGAGTTCAGCCAGCACCAATAGCAATGATTCTACTGCTCATGAGGAAGATTTGTGTTCCGATAGCACTACTACAGACTCGAGCACTGAATATTCAGATTGGATGGCGGATCATGGACTGAATTTAGAACCGCCTAAACGTAGCAAACGCAAACCCGTGAAAAAGCGTTCTGTCACACCACCGAGTGATGTTGACAGAAGACGCAGTAAACGTCCTAAGAAAAAGGTAAGTTTGTAACTCTTATATTATTTTTAATTCACTTGAATTTTATTTAAACTATCATTTTATTATCCAACAGGGAGTACAAATAGCTAACGGTACTTGTGAAGTTCCTGACATTTACCGCCCTTCGGAATGGCTTACTGAAGTAATACCGAGGAAAGCCCCTTATTATCCGCAGATGGGCGATGAAATAGTATATTTCAGACAAGGTCAAAAATTCTATTTAGATGCAGTTAGGAATAAAAAGATTTATGAGCTTAGTCCACGGTGTGAGCCATGGACCAAGATGAATATTAGGGTATGTTTACTTTATTTTAGGGGATGAAAAAAGAGGTTTTTAACTATATAGGACGGAACATTTAAAAAAAATCTTAAATAGAATAGACACGCGCGTATATGTACTAATTAGAGAAAATATTTATATTGTAGGCACAAGAGTTTGTAAAAGTAGTGGGTATTAAATATGAAATTAAACCGCCTCGCTTATGTTGCTTGAAATTAGCGTTAATGGACGAAGACGGTCGACTTACCGGACAGAATTTCACTATCAAATATCACGATATGGCTGATGTGTTAGATTTCCTGGTGTTACGTCAAACTTTCGATACGGCGTTGGCACGAAGTTGGTCCGAAGGCGATAAGTTTCGCTGTATGATCGACGACGGTTGGTGGATGGGACAGATTGTTGGGATGGAGCCGCTAGATGAAGAATTTCCGGAATCGTTTTTTATGTGCTTTCGCGTCAGATGGGATAATGGAGAATACGAACGAATGAGTCCTTGGGATCTCGAGCCTGTTGATGAAGATAGTAAGCTCGTCATTTAATTCGCGATTATCAAAATAAATATTTATTTTTGAATTAATCGAAAAAGCGAGTATAAAAATGTATACTTTGATCTAATATTTTTATCTCGCTTTTTTCTCTACATTCTTCAATCTCGTACTATATGCGTTAATTATACCTGTTTAGGAATCCCGATGGAAATCGGTGGCGCGGTTCCCGTCTTACCGGAGGAAAGGCAAGCGATACTGTATCAACCCCATACGGAAGAATGGCCCATGGGTGATAGAGAAGCGACTTGTCGTCGAATTATACGAGGTCTGGATCAGGTGATGAGCCTCGCAATCGCGGAACCATTTGTGGCGCCGGTGGATCTCAGTCTTTATCCGACTTATGCGTATATTGTTGAATATCCGATCGATTTGTCGACTATAAAAGCTCGTTTTGATAATCATTTCTACAGAAGAATCACGTCGGCGCAATTTGATGTTAGATATTTGGCAACAAATGCTGAACAATTTAATGAACCTCATAGTCATATAGTGAAAAAGGCGAGAATAGTCACTGACTTGTGTTTGCGCATAATAAAGTAAGCAAATATATATTTTTTTAATTTAGTGCAAAAGTTAAAATTTATACAATCTTTACATTCTATACTAGTAGATGTTATATAATATAATATTGTTTATCTTATGCAGGGAACCTACTGATTTGGATGTTCCAGCAGTATATCATCAATTGAATGATACATACCATTCCTCTGAATCAGAGACAGAGATAGAAAACAAACCTTCAATGAGTAAACTAAGATCATCGAGTAGAAATTTACGTTCGCAACAAATCTCACAAGACTGGAAATTAGCATGTCGTCAATTATTGGAGAGTCTATGGCAATGTGAAGATTCAATTCCTTTTAGGTAAGATGTGGTGAAAATTTAAATTATCATTTGTTCTTTTTTATCTTTGCGAATATATAATCATATTGAAAATATAATTATATAGAAAATTGTTTTGCAGAGAACCAGTTGATAGATTAGAACATCCAGAGTATTATCAGATAATAGACACACCGATGGACTTGCGTACTGTCAAAGAGGATTTATTAGGCGGCAATTACGAAACACCATCGGAATTTGCCAAAGACATGAAATTAATATTTACAAATAGTAGAAATTTTAATACGAACAAACGTTCGAGGGTAAATTAATACAATTTTTGCTTTGTTTACATACTTTACATAGTTACTCCATAGTTCTCTGCGACACATTTTGTTAAATATTTTATTATTTATTCAGATATATTCGATGACAGTAAGACTATCGGCCATGTTTGAAGAACATATGCGTAGGATACTTTTAAATTGGAAATCGGCACGTAGACGTAACGACAATGCGAAAGCAAAAGGAAAAGGAAAAGGAAAACAGAAACGGAAACACAACTTAAGTAATGGTACAGGTAAGCATCTGTGTGTCTTATTGCTTTATATAAACGCAATATAATTAAATGCTAACTGTTGCAGGATCTTCTAAATCGAAACCTGTTCCAAGTGATGATGAGGATGAAGATGATGTAAATAGCGATAACGATGATGAGGAATCGAGTAAAGATCAGAAAAAGAAGAATTTTGACGTATCTACACCTGGTATGCGCATGTATCTTTCTAAATTCACTCTATATTTGTATCGCGAAAGAAATTTATTGGGTTTTGTACTCGAAAGTGTTGAGTAAAACTTGTAAGAATAAGTTGAATTAGGAATAAAACTATATGACTATACTTTAATAAGACCAGCGGAATTGAAGAACGAGCTATATTATAACTATCTTTTTCTCTTATTAACCATTTCTGTACTTTGTTCATACAAACCAAAATTTAGCAGATTTTTTTCACTAGAGATATCTTTTACAACAATTTACAGTTTATAAAATTGATAACCATTAAATTAAAATTATTATTGTGAAATATTTATAGTCGATTATCTACATTATTTTGATTCAAGTTATTTTATATTAAATTACTAATTTTGATTTGATTTTGGTCCCTTCCTAGGACCCTCACGGATGACGAATGGTCACACGAAGCGATCTATCTCGTCTCGACCGACGTTGAAACTGAGGATCTGCCGGTCAACCGTGTCGAAGAAGTCAAAGAACAGTGATAGTGATGTTAGTGAATCAGAGGCAACGACAGATACTGACAGTAGTGACAGTGCCCCTGTCCGACGAACTAGAGCAAGGACGGCGGTGCCTAGTGTTAGTGCCGATACCGATTCCGGGGATGATTATACGCTCAATGGTCGGGGCAAGCAGGTTCGCAAAAATCGCGGCAAGAATATTAAGAATAGTAAACAATCTAAATCCAAAGTGAAATCGAATGTTATCGTGGACGACGACGACGATGATGATGATGAATACGTTGCGAAGAACAAGGCGAATGACAATGATGACGAAGAGAACAAGGAAGACGACGAGGAACAGGAATTCGTCGCGCCAGAGTCCACGGAAGAGGAAAGTGAAGAAGAAAAATTTGTCAGGAGAGATACTAGATCGCGAAAATTAGTGGTAGAGAACAAGGAAAACCAAAAATACACCCCTAATAATGGAAAGAACGAAAATAGCGAGAGCGAGAGCGAGGAGGAGGATGATGAAGAACAGGACGAGGAGGAAGAAGAGGTGGAGGAAGATGAGGAAGAGAAACAGTTACAGCACGAGGTCAATAATCAAGATTCTGAAGACAGTGATTATTCATATAAAGTACAATTCAGGTCATCGCGCTCCAGCCGTCGGAAACAGCGCGGCTCCGTGGACTCGGAGGATACGAGGCAGCAGTACAGCAGCAGACGAGCGGGTCGAAAGCGTCCTCATTATAAGGAGGAAAGCGATGACAGTAACGGGGTGCCAGTAAGAAACCGACGCAAGATCAAGCGCCGCTCTTACGCTGAGGAGAGCGACGAGGACAGCGTACAGGAACCTGGCATTAGTATAAGTAGTAGAGGCCGTATACGTAAAATGACACCACGCGCGCGTGCTTATCTTTTAGAATCACCCTAACGACATCTTCTATGTTAGTAGAAGTCGTGTGTATATTAAAGAACCTGTTTCATAGAAATCCTGATAAAAATCGTATTATCTCGCGCATTCTCAGATCAATATATCACATTGCAATCGAAAAGCTAAAATGTAAACTATAGCGCGTATAAATACTTCGAAATGTTTGATTGACCAATTAGGATGGACATTTTTGCAGTTTTTCTCCTGATTCGTTTCGAAGCATTTATCAATAAAGCTAGAAGTAGAATGGACCTGGAAGATGAAGAGAGTTTTCAATCTGTTCATCTTCTCCATCTCTATATTTGTTTTTTTATTGTTACACATTGTTCATAATATGTAATTGCAATAGGAATTTTCGATACTATAGTACGGTTTTCGGAAATAACGTTGTAAGAACTAGAGTTCCAAACAAGATACAATATCTGTTACTTTCGGTGCACTCTTGTTTGGCTTACTTATATAAAATATAAAAATTATCGTACTATAGTGTCATATTGAATACTTCTGCTGTGAAGAACTTCTATTTTTACAAAGTAGTTCTTTGAAGCAGGTATTCTTTTCTTTTTATATTTGTCTAAATCTTCAAATGATATACATACTAATATAATGGTACAAGCGGAAATAGTTTTATAAGCAGACACACAATATTTTCGGTATCTTGATAGTCATCCTGTATATGACATGTTCAATCGAATTCACATTAGACAACTACTGTATATAAAGTTTCACTCGCTCTAAAGAAAATTATATAGAGAATTCTATATAATCGCGTTATTGTACAGATATAATGATTATCTTGTTACTTGTAAATGTGGAAAGACGAGCGGCTTGCTCGCGTAAAGACACGAGTTCTCGTTTGGTTGTGGCGATTGCTTCCATGATTTCGAAAGTTTTAAGATTCATATAAATACAATTTTTATGTTATGACAATAAAAAGAGAATCTGTATAAAATCATCTTATTTTATAAAATAGTTTTCAGTTTCGTAAAAATAATAAGCAAGTTAAACAATGCACTTGTGAAATTTATCAAGTTATCATTTTTACAGGTCTTCGCAATATATCATTGTAATAATTGTTCGTTGAGAGTTTATCTATAGAAAAACTTTATACGATTTTCTACATATTCTGAGTTATTAAGAACACATATGAAACAGTATTTTATTTTATCTATATGAAAGATTCTCGATACAGTAAAATGTAATAGTAATTAGATATAATTCAATTTCCGTATATTGCCCGGGTAAAATTTATGCGGTTTGTTACATATGCAATAATTTCTTCCTTGGACACTGGACTTATAATCAGCGTTTTTAAAGTTGTATTAAACAACGTGACATTTGCAATAGCAATTTGTTATTAGCATATAAAGAATTAAATTTTATTTTACTGATTGTGATGGAAAATATCAGGGAGAGTACAAGAAAATATTCTTTATTATTTTCTTCTCTTCTTTTTCCCTTTCTTCCTTCTTTTTGTTGATTCTGAAATTTCGTCACTGTTTTCGCTTCTCACAACTTTATTTAAGTTTAGGACACATCACGTGGTAAAAAAACGCGAGTCTGCCTCTCTGTGTAAATATACATTGTATTAACTCTCGTATCATTCTCTTTTCTTTCTTTTTTCTTTGATTATTTTATGTTGCATAACAGATAACATAAATTTTATATATAGTCCGTAATACTGCGTGTGAAATAACGATTTTTTATATAATTTGTATATCTGTTACGGATCTATATAATAAAAGGAGCCCCGTATGGTCACACAATTTTAGAATTTTTCATGAAGGCAGATAGACGTTTTCCAGATTTATATGACGCGAACTTGAATAGATTACGCATTACATAGTTGTGTAAATGATTAGACAATTATTGTCACCAGCAGCTAACATCGTTGATCAAGACAAATGCACAAAAGATCAAAAGTCTTGACTATCTCGAGCCATTGTGATATTAGTTTAAGAATATCAAATATATAAAATATAAATTGATAATATAAATTATCAATATAATTAGGATTGTAATTGATATTTTTTTAATGACTTAAATAAGAGAGTCATATCACATATAGACTCGATGATGTATCCAGCCTTTGATTAATATTAATTTAACGATGTTAACTTTGGTCTCACTCTATTAATCATATAATAATTGATATACTTCGCAAGATAATGATTCAGAAGTAATATAATTTCGTGTATATAAACTCTGCCGAGAACACACATAGGACTTAATATGAAGACAGTTACATTTTATGTACAGTTTGACTTATTCTGTTGTGAAATTTCAGCGTGTTTTGTTACATATAATATGGTTCTTTGAAACCCACCGTCACACCAATAAAAAAGATTAAATTGTTTTACATATGTGTCTATCTGTGTATTATTATTTGCCATTAACTTTGGAAGTTTTATAAACAAAACGTCAATTTTTCTCAATTTTATTGAAAATTCTACATGTAATTAACATGTATATTTAATTTTCATGCAAATTTTTGTTTTGAAACTTAACTTGTGTAATTTTCAAAATTAATCGTTTATTTATATTAACTACCTGATTATTTGTATTGTATAAAGTATTTCATAAATTTTTTATATTAAGTTTTTCAAAAGATTTCTTAATGTGCGTGTGTATATACATGCATAATAAATCTATAAATAAATGTTTCCCATACACACATGTATGTGAGACAAATATATTTACAAATTTATTAACAGATTGATTAATGAATTAAGTTTTACAGAAGTATATAATTAACGAGAAGATCTTATTTCTGATAGTTTTGAGGATATTTACAAGAATCGAGGAGCAATTTAAAAAGTAAAAGAAGGTAACTCTCTCTCTTTTGGCTTATATATATTTATAATGTATGAAATATTTTATTCTAATTCGTTTATCTGTACACCTCTAAATGGATAATACGAATATTACACGAAGAGACAATTCCATGTGAAACTTGCTAATAATGTTTATTTAGTTTGGATAATTTATAATTTTATAAAATGGCAGCCATATTTTTGTTATGTATTGATTATGTATGATGAGAGTATAATATTAGGATAAAATGGATAAAAGAAGTCGCGATTTCTTCAGTCACATATGATTCCATTCTTACAATTTCAAGTCTACATTGTTTCCATACAACTTTTCCATATCCGTATTTATTTTTCGTTAACATACTTAATTTAATATAAAAACGAAATATTTCAATATTGAAAAATAACATATATATCTATAAAAGAGAGATGTTTCTATTTATAGGATATATATATATATATATAATTTCGCGCATTATTTTCTATTCTACGAGAAATTGTTAGAATGTTTATGGAATCCCAGTATATGCAAATCATTTTGAAAACTGGATCATGAATTCTTCTAAGAATCAATATTGCGTGATCACATCTCATTCCATTCTCGATATAAATAAAACAATAACAAAAAAGTATATTTTAATAATTAAAGTCCGCTAAGTTTGAAATGCACTGTATAACTATATCAGAATCTATTTCAATATTACAACTTTAAAAAAGTTTTTTTATTTAAACAGAATAAACTTTACTCATTGGAGGCCGTCAATGGAGTCACTTATTTAGTCTCTGCTTGGATTCATTTATAATCAAGACTCGATCAAGCCTATCCCACAGAATGCCACAATCTGTTGAGTGGAACTCAGGCGGAAGATGAATATTGTTCCTTAAGTCTATGGAATTCTATCTCTTTTTGCAAATATTCCTTGACAAAAGGATGCTCCAAATGGGAATCTTTCAACTGACTTAAATAACGATTCGCCACTTCTGGTGGTTTGCCCATATGCTGGGAAAGAACAATCATATTGATCAATGTATCTGGATTATTACTATCTTTATCGAGAGACTCTTGCAAAGCCGTCTCCGCCTCCTCATATTTAGCTTGTCCGATAAAACAAGTAGCTTGTCCATTCAATAACATGCTTGTACTGGAATGCTTGTCAATCATCTCCTGAAATAGTTTATACATAGTGAGACAACACACTTTTAGTAAAGCAAATTAAAATATCAGCATAAAATGCCATTTGATATAAGATAAACAGTTAATCCTTTCTCACCTGAAAGATGTAATAAGCATCTTGCAGTTTGTCACCACCGCTAGTAATGTTAACCCATGCTTGAGCAAGTTGAGTCAAAGTAGCATCATCATCCTTTTCCTGCATCGTCTTTAGCTCTTTACGGGCCAGATCTGGACGATCCATTTTGAGATATATCTGCAATGTCAGTGCCATGCATTCTAAATGATCCACGTCGTGTAATATTCGGAGAGCAGCCTCCAGATTCTTTTCGTGATAATAAATGGTCGCAGCTACAATCAGGAAATTATGATTATCGAAATTTGGATGACTAGCTTCCTTGTCAAGTTCAGCTACTATGGCCTCGCGACGATGTGGGTTGGCGAAATATTCGGCTAAGGTCTTTAATGGTTGCAATTCTGGTGGAGATAAATTGTTGATTTCATCTAACACCACACGGAATTTTCTTTGTGCTATGTAGGCGCGATAGAGGAGAAGGTTTTATCTCTTATTTAATTTTAATTATCAGCTTTTTTATTTTTTTTTCAATTGTATAACTTGCAGTCAATATTCATATGTCAGTTTATTATTTCATTGTATTAAAGTATCTGATTATATTCTATTTTAATTTCATGAAGATATGTATATATATATTAATTATATATAATTAAAAGTATTTTTTAAACATTAATAAATATTTTATTATATTTTTTTATTTAAATAGATGATACTATTGCAAATAGATAAATAATTTTTTAAATTAAATCAAAAGGTTTTTTAAAATAATAAAACAATTGAATTGAAAGAAGATTTTATACTTCCAGATTTGGGATATCAGAGTTTCGACTGGTTCGATGAGGGTAATCAAAGGTCCTCATATATGCGGTGATGCCATCGATATATGTGTAAGATTTTTTTTGTCTCATTGATAAATTGATATCTACATTTACCAATGAAAGCTCTATATTATATAAATGCATTTTTTCATATATCTTGTTTACTAGGAAACGCGCATCCTTACAGGCTCTTGGGTAGTGCGTGATAGTCTACAAATATGGGATCTGATGAGCGCGAAACTCATCGAAACGATAAATCCGCAAAACAGATTGTCGACTTTGAACGGCGAATTTCTTTATGCAGTACAATATTTTGATGGGGATCCCTATGGTGATCTTATCCTGACTGGAGGCTCCGGTACTGGTGCACTTGAAGTGATTAGTTTAAAAGAAAAGAAGGTTTGTGCGATTCGTCATTCCTGATTACATTAAATAGATTCAGATTGTTACAAGAAGATAAAAAGGAAAGACAATTATTTATACGTTACTAGATATAAGAAATATCTTTCTTAAATATTTTTAAAAGATGGCAATAAAACAATTTTTCACTTCATTAATCATTTTTAATGCAGGTAATGGGAAGTATCAGTGTAAGCAAGCCGATTTTTACCATAGACAGCCACCAGACTACAATAATATTTGGTGGCATAGAATCTGTGTTAAGACTTGGAGATTATTATTGATGTAATATCGTACTGATCAAGTTATTAAATCTTATTAAATAATATAATTTGAAATATATTATTTCTTTTTCTCTAATATTTCTTTATATAAAAGCTACAAAAATATGACATTTATAGTTCTTATAAACATTATTTAAGACACTGTTTTGAGAGAGAAATTAAATAAAAATTCCAAAATTATTTATATAAATATTACAAAATTTGTGGCATTGAATTGCACAAAACTGTTGCTCTTATATTTGAAATTTCGCGCTTATTTAAAGTACTACAGGTTATAAGGGGTACATTTTACAAGTGACAAAAGTACTAGATTCTCAAATCGGAGATTGGGATTGGCGATTGGCTACATTGCATCTGTAAGATGCGAAAAATCGGGAAAAATGGATGACGAGAGTGAATATATTAGTTTTGTCTAAACTTTATCTTAGCAGCAAAATGGGTAATCAATTAGTGGGCATTGCGCCCAGTCAAATATTTCCAGTAGAACACTATTTGACGGATCATAGCGATTTATTGTTCGACGTAAAGTAAGTACATTTATCAAATTATTCCACTTTACGTATATATACATTTTGCTAGAAGAGTATAATGTGAACAATTATTGTCAAGTCGTTGATTCATATTGAAGCGTTCTGTCTTATAATAAAGGTAGCTTATTATGTTATAATAATTACGTACGAATTATTCATGTTGTGACTAATAATAATATTACAAACATTATCAAACATGCATGATATTCTACTATCTGTTGACAATTCTTCATATCATGATCCTTGCATGATTTACATTATGTACATTAATGTATTATTAACAATATGTCAAGATGCCGCAATATGTAGAAAAATTTGACGGAAATATTATTTATGATAAGATTAAATTATAAGATAAAGTATTAAGTAATATAAGCTCTACCTGCTGATTTACAAAATTCTTTGTCATTCATAGCTTAGGAAGTACTAGATTTTTCAAAGTGGCTCGAGCTCGCAGCCAGGAAGGCCTGATAGTTGTAAAAGTATTTGCAATTCATGATCCAACATTGCCATTATCTACCTATAAGGACAAGCTAGAGGAGATTAGATCAAAGCTAGCCTCAGCTGTCAACTGCCTACCATTTCAACGAATGATTGTGAGCATCATAACAATAATAAATATGTATAGTTTTATAGGAATTAGAATTAATTGTATGTTTGGATTAGCTTACAGAAAAAGCAGGCTCAATAATGCGAGAATATGTAAAATATTCTCTTTATGACAGAATCAGCACTAGACCATTTTTAACAAGCATTGAAAAAAAGTGGATTACTTTCCAAGTATTGTATGCTCTTCATCAAGTTCATAAGGTAAAATTAAGCATTTAAAAGAGAGTTATTCAAAATAGCATACAAAGAATCAAGAAAATTCTTTGAATCTTATATGAGTTGTTTCTTTATTTTAATAAAGTCTTTTAATTATAATTTCCAAAAATTAAAAAAATATTTTTTTGTCATATATATAGTTTGGAGTTTGTCACGGTGACATAAAACTGGAAAACATTATGATAACTAGCTGGAACTGGGTATTACTTACAGATTTTGCTAGTTTTAAACCAACATATTTACCAGAAGATAATCCTGCGGATTTCTCATACTTCTTTGATACTTCCAGGAGAAGGTAAAATTTTTCTTAAAGCTTTTATTAAGCTTTATTAAAAAATTTCTTGTTTTTAATTGTAAATAATATAATCTGTACTTTTTAATATTTTCAGGACTTGTTACATAGCACCTGAACGATTTGTGAAAACATTATCCTCAGAATTAAGCAATACATTGTTATTGCCAGAACAAGAAGTAAAAACAGGCGATCTACATCCCATGATGGATATCTTTTCTGCAGGATGTGCTTTAACAGAATTGTATAATGAAGGCCATCCACCATTTGATTTTTCACAGCTTTTAGGTATATATTGTTTTTAATCTAATTGCTATTGATAGGACTGGTTTTAGAAATACTATTTTACTTTAATATTTACACTGTAAAAACTTTATTTTTCTTAATATTTACATCAATTTAAAGTATTTGTGTATGTTACTGTTCTTAAATCTTTTTTTTTCTCTCCTTGTTTCTCAAATTACGAATAAAAAGCAATTATGTAATATGCAGAATATATAACAGAAAAGCCAGTCTTATATAGTAAGTGCAAAAATTTTACTAATTATTAAAGTTGTATTGGAATCAAGCATACAGGAACAATGAATATTCAGTGAACAAACACTTGGACAGTATAGACGATCCAGGAATACGAGAGTTGCTTGGGTCAATGCTCGAGAGAAATCCGTTAAACAGAAAGAGTGCTGAAATTTATCTGGCTCAAGCTCGCGGTATCATTTTTCCGGAATATTTTTATTCCTTTCTGCAATCTTATATGCTCATTTTTTCCGCCGCTCCGATTTTATCACCGGACGAAAAAATAACTAGATTAAAAAAGGACATTGGCAATATTATAAGTATATTAAGGGCAGAAGAAAATGAACGAACGAGAATGAAATCTACAGAAACAAAATCTAGCCAATGCGAAAGTAACATGGAATCGATTAAGGACGATTCTGGTCACAGTGAGGAAAACACTATGGTAGAAGTCGACAGCGATCAAAGCTCCGATAAGACCGATTTGAATCAACTTGACATGAAGAGTACAATTCAAGATGTTAGCACTGAAAGTCAAGTAGAAGTGGAACCAGAACTTAAAACATCTGTGGATTGTAAACAAACGTGCAATGAAGAATCCCAGAAACCAGTTTTAGCTTCGACTGACATTCTAGAAGGACTCGTTATCATAACTCAACTTGTTACATCTTGCATAAGAGGATTGCATCACTCGCAATCTAAATTATATAGTTTAGAAATATTATTGGAGCTAGCTGAAAATGTTTCCGATGAGACAATTCTTGACAGAATATTACCTTACATTGTAAGTATCATTGTACCAATGCATTTTCAAATTTTTTTAATTGAAGTATATTAAAATAAATATTATTCACCAATTTATATTTATAAACTTAACTAAAAAATGTTTGGGTATTAGATGAATTAATTATTGTATGTGTTCTTTTATATTGTTAATTGTGATACATAATTCTTATAATCTTTCTTATATAGTTCCATCTGGTCCACGATCCGGCACCGCGAGTAAGAGTATCGGCGATACATACTTTGACAAAGTGTTTGCATCTTGTGAAATCGATACCATCTTCGGATGTGAACATATTCCCTGAATACATTCTACCAGGTTTAGCACATATAACCCAAGATGACGCAGTTATTGTTAGGGCAGCTTATGCGGAAAATATTGCACATTTGGCACATATTGCTTTACGTTATCTAGAGAATGCTCATCTGTCTAACTTGAACAACAAAGAGGGGCCAAAGCCCAGTTATGATAGTGAACTGCAAACCTTGCATGAAATGGTACCGATATTTTTCATATTTCATAAATAGAGTAAAATAATGTGATTTATGGAATTTTTATTGTTTGAACTGAAACACATATATTGTCATCACATCAAATTATCTTGGTTTATTTTGGTTAATTTTTTTCATATTTTTCGTTTTTATTTAGGTCCAACAATCAGTTTCAATGTTGTTAACAGACCCCCAAAATTTAGTGAAACAGACTTTGATGGAGAATGGAATAAATAAATTGTGTGTATTCTTTGGCAAACAAAAGGCGAACGATATTTTACTCAGTCACGTTATCACATTCTTAAACGACAAAGAGGACAGGGAATTGAGAGGTTCCTTCTTTGAATGCATAGTGGGTGTGGCTGCATATGTTGGTTGGCATAGTAGCCCTATATTAATGCCACTTCTGCAGCAAGGCCTATCTGATCCAGAAGAATTTGTAACCACAAAGGCCATAAATGCTATGGCGACGCTTACAGAATTAGGTCTGCTGCATAAATCTGCTCTCTATCAACTATTATCAGAAACTATGGTTTTTCTGGTATGTTTTATCTGTATTATTATATGTGATAGTATTTGATAAATTTTTTTATGTAATTTTAGTTATATACTTTTATCTAGTAAGATTTTCTTTCTTCCAATAGTTTTGTTTTATAAAGGATTTTTTTGTTAGAATCATTTTTCTCTTTTATCAAACCGAGATATTGATGTTGTGATTATTTAAAGATAAAGAATTTTTAAGTGGCAAAAAATTTGATAAGTTTCAGGATATTATTTTAAGCAAATTTGTCTTTGAAAAATTTAATTTGCAGAAGATTAGAAAATTATTAAAGTATTTAATGTTAAAAATATAACAAATATATCATATTCAGTAAAAACAGTAGGCTTCTTTAATTTCCGTTAAAAAAATTTTAAGTTTACATTTATAAAAGAAAATCTGTGGTTGTGTAAAAAAAGTTTGATTTGAAACACTCTTTTGTGTATTTTATTGACACAATATATATTACTCTGTGTTTTATTGATACGATCAATTTATACATGTACTCTCTATAGGTTCATCCAAATTTATGGATACGTCATGCAACCGTCGGCTTTATATCCGCGGCGGCGAGGACTTTGAACGTAGTAGATGTTCAGTGTAAAGTTCAGACGATGCTTCAACCGTATTTGAAGCATTCATTGATCCAGATAGAAAAGGAGATTTTATTGCTAGAGGCTCTCGTTCCTCCCATATCCAGAATAGTGTACGACTCTGTAGTAAAGTATAACGATGTGGAGGAGTTGTTTCAGGTACTCGAACAAAGACAGGCAGTCAGAGCGAAAGCTGTGATGGGTGTCGTGCCACCACAATATAACGATATGAGTACGTCTTTACGAAACGTAAGTAATGTCGATTATATTAGTGTATATACTCAAAATAACATTGAAAAAATTTCTATTATTACACAATAAAACTATTAATATATTGTTAATGTAATGAAGCTAAATATTAAAACAAAGATGTAAAAAAATGTGCGTTATGTATTTATCATGTATGTCTTGAAAGAAATTTAAATAAAGTTATAAATTATTTTTTGATAGTCCTTATTACTGTATAAAAAAAAAAAAATGCAAAAAAATTCACAAACATGTCTTTTTCAGCTTTTTAGGCGACTGAGTTCAGAATCGATGACAGAGGCAGTTGAGGATCAATTGCTGATCATGAAACCACACTTGATTAAGATCAATAAATACCGTTCTGTTGACACGAAGCAAAATATTGTAAAGCTTGCGGACGGCAAGCTGGAGCTAAGTCCAGTGAAGGATAGGATAAGACACCATGTCGTTGTATTGTATCCCGATGCGAAAGGAGACTTGACTTTGCCACCCTTCAAGAGATTAGATCGAAGAACATCGGAGACCGTTGGCACGTATGCAACAATGAATCAGGAATGGCGCACGATGTTTGCAGCTCAAGACAATGCTCAGGTAATGAAGTCATATCGATAATTCTATGCTTTTTATATTTTTCTGTGCTAATTTACAATAATTATTATCATTTTATTGTGTGTGCGACAGCATGCTATCGTTAAAATGTCAGACATGACTGGAAGCAGTGGTAGTCCTAGTCAGAGCATACATAGCGGAGATATTCATTTATCTCCTCATCATTGTCTGTCAGATATGACCAGCATTAATTCTCTCATGAACGATCATTCGCTCCACGAACGGTCCTACATACAATGTAAGTGAAATTAATGAAAATATTGAGATAATATTGATTTGTTTGAAGAAGTTTTTATAAGATTTCTTTGGAAAAATAAATTGAACGAGATTGATGATTTTATAGATAGATGTGCACCATGTCGATTGGAAGTACGGCAATTAACGTGTCGAAAGCAGGAACAACATACGGCAATATTAAGAGCGAAGTGTTGGGCTAATAACGTCTGCGAAGCCGGTAAATAAAATATGTAGTTTATATAAATTATATATTATATCTATGTATCATAGGATTATCAGGAGAAAGATGCTTCTTTATTTGTTATCGATGTTGACTGAAAGGCTCTACGTCAATGCCAAAGGATTGGAGGCCCCGGGGAGTTCCGGTCGCGCATCTTCACGAGCACCGAGCCGCGGTGAATAGATTGGTTTCGATACCGGATACCAGTTTATTTGCAAGTAATTCTTCCGACGGATGCATTAAAATTTGGGACGCCAGTAAAATGGAAGGACGAAACATTGCTAATCGTTCTAGGTATACCTTTTTTCTTCCAGAGCGATTGTGTATATTACAAAAAATATCTGCGTTTTTTTCACGCTTGATAATTATATCAGTCTCAAGTTTCAAATCTCAAGCTATTCTAGTAATAGTATTTACTTTCTGATGTACGTTTTAAATAGGCAAACGTACATGCACAGAGGAGGCCCATTGGTTGGCTTAACCGTGTGCGACCAAGGGCAATCTTTAGCTAGTTCGGCGAGCACATCCGGAACGGTATTCGTACTTCGGATTGAGTCAAATTCTAGTAAAATGAGTCTAATTGGCACTCGTCAATTGGATCTTCAGGTGAGATGAGATATTTATGTATAATATAAACATTCGATGGACGGGAGTGTTTTAGAGTTATTGCTTGCGATTTTATTTAACAGGAAGAAGGATGTGCCGTTGATCTGCAATATCTAGATTGCGGCTCTCAATCGGTTCTCGTGTATGCTTCGTTATACGGATCGCTAGTAGGCTGGGATTTGCGGTGTCCTGGGACAATATGGCGTTTGGAGAACGATTTGAAACACGGAGTTATCACATCATTCTGCGTAAATAGTCATCAGCAATGGTTGACTCTCGGTACTAGCTCGGGTATTCATACCTGTTGGGACTTGAGATTTCAATTGCCAATAACGAGTATCAAGCATCCGACAGGTAGATTATCGCCGATTATTTCCAATATCCCTGTATAAAAGTAATATATCTTAGTATACTATCATTCTTTCTAACACTGTTTATATATTTTTTAGGCGCCAGAGTGCGAAAGGTCATTACGCATCCAACGGAACATTCGTGGATAATCTCGGCGGTACAAGGTAATAACGAGATTTCAATGTGGAATCTGGAAACTGACCATCGACAAATGGTTCTGTGGGCGTCGAACGCCCCGCCATTGAGTCGCACTCAGGCCGGTCATAGTGTGTGTGCCATGTACGCCGGATGCATCGACTGCTCGGGCTTTCTCCTAGCCGGTGGCACCGATATGCGGCTACGTTTCTGGGATTTTAATAGGCCCACCACGTCTTACGTTGCTCTGCCTGCTGCCAATGATGGTCTCACGCCGAATTCATTAGCATATGAGTCAGTAATCAATCAGATATAAAATTTTATCTTATATATATATCATATTACTACGCGATGATGTGCCATAATGTCGCTTCTCTGTTTATAGTTTACGTTTAATAGATGGAACGAATGTTGTACAAGAAGTAATGGTAGATGATGATTCTAATCCGTCATCCGGAAGTGACGCGAGAGGAAGAAACATAGAAGAAAATGGTCCTGAAACTCCACCTTCTGGCCAACACGACACGATCTCTGCCGTGGCTATGTCGAATATGTGCTTTCTCACCGGGAGCACGGACGGCCTAATACAAGTTTGGAAATGATTGTTTTTCACGCTCCCATACTTGATTCCAAAGTTCCTCGCTCGGACGACAAAAGGTTTTTTACAGTGCAATGCGGATTTCTCTCTTGTAATAACGAAATCATTGTGATTCAAGTAAGGAATAAGTTATTCTCTAGAATAATCCAATAGGCAAATTGTCCAGCAATGTGGTCGGATAATTACCATAGTATAATTTATTTAAAGAGAGTCGGAAGAATCGTGATAAAACAGCATGGATATAATGCCACAATATTTCATTTTGGCAAAAATTAGTAATTATATTTTTTAAACAATTTTGTAATTATTGTTGACATCAGGACTCATTGCAAATTGGTGATATCATATTCACTGTGTTCAAAATAACTTTACAAATCACATCAATTTATTTGGGTTTATATCATTTCTTTTTTTTTTTTTTTTAGAAAATATAATTTCTAAATATAATTTCTAATATAATTTTATAGATAAATTACATACAAGTAAGAAAAATACAATTTACAATTAGATTTCAATTTAAATTATATTTTATATTGCTCAGTTTATTCTTGGACAATTTTAGGATGGTTCTTATTATTTTCTTAAATCATAAATATCGATATGTATGTACTATGTTGCCATGCTGTACTAACTCTGTGATTCTCTCTGGACTGTATATAAAACATGTAATATACATGATATTTAAGATTACCAGTTATTACAATTGCGCTATATAAGTGTGCATTTTTTAAGAAAATCGAACATAAACTTGCATTATACCATGTATAATAATGTATATAATTTATTTTTGTACGTAAAAGACAGCGAAGAAAAAGATAGCTTGGAATATTACTGATATATTAGAGAGATGTAACGAGTTTAGAATGTCTATATTACACAAATTGATAGACAAGCCTTCGGAATAGCTGTATCTAAATTAACAGATATTTACTTCCATTTGCGCATTTGTAATTTAACACGAAATTGCGCTGACACAAATTGATTTTGCAGTATAGCAGAATGTTTTTTTATTATAAAATGTCTAAAATACTAATCCATAAACTGTGTTTTAATGGATCATTTATATCGTTCAATTTTTTTATCCTACAGTGGATTGTAGATATTTGTATCAACTTTTTTTTTTTTTTTTTTTAAATCCGACATAAAATACTGACCAAGAAACGAGGCTAAAACAATAATAAAATTCGTGTATGAAAATGCGACATGCAAACAATTATTTTTTCGCTTCATACTTTACACAGTGAATGCGTTATAGTAAGTAGCTATTTGTAATAGCGCGAATATTCATGTATATTCCTTTGCTAATATTATCACACATATGGACACACATATACACACACACACATAAACATACCGACTGAAATACTCATAATCAGTGGATGTATAATGTGTCTGAAGCTATAGATTGTTACAATAAATTCATATTTTTAACGCATGACGAGTTCTTGTTTGTGTTTGGCACAACAGATATAAGGGTTGATCGAAAGTTTCTTTTACCAGGGGCAGACAGGTGCGGCAGGATAAGGCACGCGTCCTGGGAATGCATACGAATCCGGATTTATCGTCTTGCAGATCTGCTTCCAACGTTCTTTACCGCCTCTGCCCTGACGATATTGCTGATACGGGCCATCTTGTCCGTTCGCATATTCGATATTTCGATTGTCGTATGAAGATTGTCGGGGAAACCATAAATTGAGCCAAGGTACGCAAAAAGAGGAACTGATCAATAACAGTAATAAAAAGATTAGCTTCATTTTAATTGCATCTCCTGGAAATATTGATTGTTTTTATGATAATCTTCCCGTGATGATCTGAAAGGAGAAGGAAGATTATTTTCTTCATTCTTGTGAATACATTTTAAACTCTTTTAAAAATATTTACATATGTATATATATATATA